TGATAGACTCACGCGCGGGGGCTGAGATAATGCAGACCGCGTCGGCTACGGTCTCACGCAGAGGTAGAACCTCACGGGATGACTCTTAATCGGTAAACAGTGGGGCAGCGAGGCGTGTGTCACGGTTTTGTGCAGGCAGAAGATGACGAGAAGGCAGAAGGTTCAAAGTACAAACTATTTTAATAACAATCACTCACAAGAACATAGACTGGCAGGTAGCACAACAACATAACATATGTAACGACCGACAAAGACTGAATGAACTGAGGCAAACTAAATACAGAGACAAATGAACCATAATGATGTGAAGACAGGTGACACAGATGATGATAACGAGGGACAGGCTGGTAAGTGAGGGAGTGAATACAGGTGTGGAGACGAGGAGGATTCGGGGAAGTGTAGTGAAGAGACAAGGACAGACTGGTGCAGACGAAGACTGTGACATTACACCCCCCTCCCGGTAGGCGTGTCCTCACGCCGTAGAACAGGGGTGGGAGGGTGGGCATCCTGGAGTCCGTGACGGGAAGGCGGACCGGGTGCAGCAGGACGAACTCCAGGGTGGTCCAGGCGGCCATGGCGGAGCAGGACATGGGCGTGGCCAGGGCGGAGCAGGACGTGGGCGTGGCCAGGGCGGAGCAGGACGTGGCCAGGGCAGAGCAGACGAACCCTCGGGCGTCCAGGGCGGAGCTGTTGGACCCTCGGGCGTCCAGGGCGGAGCAGGCTGTGGGCGTGACCACGGCGGAGCAGTAGGACCTTCGGGCGGCCACGGTGGTGAAGACCCTTCGGGCGGCCACGGCGGTGAAGACCCTTCGGGTGGCCGTGGACCCTTGGATGGCCGGGACGAAGACATATGCCCCCCCCCCCCCCCCCCCCCCCCCCCCCCCCCCAAAAAAAATATTTGGGGTGAGTGCCCGGATTAGGGACAGGCTCCGGATCGGGAACAGACACCGGCTCAGGAACAGACACCGGCTCAGGAACAGCAGCCACTAGAACAGTAACAGCCACAAGGACAGACACAAACACAGAAACAGACACTGGCTCAGGAACAGGCACCGGCTCAGGAACAGACACCGGCTCAGGAACAGACACCGGCTCAGGAACAGACACCGGCTCAGGATCAGCAGCCACTAGAACAGTAACAGCCACAAGGACAGACACAAACACAGAAACAGACACTGGCTCAGGCACTGGAAGAGTCTCTGGCTGGGCAGACGGGACGCGAACAGTCTCTGACTGGGCAGACGTGACATGCATAGTCTCTGGCTGGGCAGACGGGACGTGAACAGTCTCTGCGTGCCTGACGTACTCCAGCAGTGAAGAGGGCTTGATGCTGGATGGAACCAGTGGCAAATACCCCTTTTCCACCAAGGCAGAGCTGGTGCTGGTTCGGAGCCAGAGCCTAGTTTCAATTCGGTTCTTTGTTTTTCCACACGCAAAGCACCAGCTCCGAACCAGGAAAAGTGGTTCTTAAGTAGCACCAAATCATTGCTGGTCTAGAACAGAGCCAAGTAAGAACCGCTTGCGTCAGGGGCAGGGGGCGGGGTTACCGTGACCAACAAGACGAATAGAAACTTGTGACCGCCATTTTTAAATAGCAGCTAGTCGAGCTAATAGCAGCTTGATTATAATATCCGTCTATGTAAGTTACGGCGAGCTGCACAAACGCGTTGGATTCCGATGTATTTTTGCAAACCCATGAGCATCCATAGTAACGCAACGTCCGTTATTGTTGATGGCTTGTTCGAGATGCATCGGAGCGGCGCGGACCGATCGGAGCTGCGGGAGTGTTTGGAGATCATACGACTCCTTGTGCTTTTGGATCACTTTCGCAGTGCTTTGATGTCATGCGGCGATCGATCTGCGAGAAGCCGATGCATCTCGAACAAGCCTGGCGTGTTTGTGTTTGGCGCTACCGCACTAGCATTGCTGGGCAACATGAGACGTATGCAGTGACGTAAGATCTGGCTCTGTTGTGGCTCTCTAGCCGGTGGAAAGGCAAACCGGTTCTTAGTAAGCTTGTCAGTCGAACCAACTCCGAACCAGCTCTGGCTCTGGCTCTGAACCAGCACCCGGTTCTTGTTGGTGGAAAAGGGGTAAAAGAGGTCTTGGTGCTGGACGGAACCAGCGGCGAAGAGGGCTTGGTGCTGGACGGAACCAGCGGGGAAGAGGGCTTGGTGCTGGACGGAACCAGCGGCGAAGAGGGCTTGGTGCTGGACGGAACCAGCGGCGAAGGGGGCTTGGTGCTGGACGGAACCAGCGGGGAAGGGGGCTTGGTGCTGGACGGAACCAGCGGTGAAGAGGGATTAGAACACACAGTCTCTAGTTGGACGGTCTCTGGCTGGACGGTCTCTGGCTGGACGGTCTCGGGCTGGACGGTCTCGGGCTGGGACGGAGCCAGCGGGGAAGGCTCGGCTGGGCTGGACGGAACCAGCGGTGAAGAGGGCTTAGAACGGGCGGTACTGACCATGAACGGGGAGCCAGACCAACTTAAAATCGCCTCGAGATACCGTTCAATGGTCTCACCGGGACCTCCGGGTGGAATCAGCGCATAAAACTGTGGATCCAAACAAATCCAAAATAGATCCATAAACTGCTGATCGGTAAGGGAGGTTAGATGGCTATACTTAATAAAGTCCTCAATGTAAGATTCAATCTTACGGCCATTTTGGTTGAGAGAGCACAACAAGAATCCCGCTTTGTCCATCTTTTGTTTGGTCGGTCGTTCTGTCAGGGTTTTGTGCAGGCAGAAGATGACGAGAAGGCAGAAGGTTCAAAGTACAAACTATTTTAATAACAATTACTCACAAGAACATAGACTGGCAGGTAGCACAACAACATAACATATGTAACGACCAACAAAGACTGAATGAACTGAGGCAAACTTATGGTGCGTTCTATTATTGTCAACGAACCGACTCGGCCCTCGGATATGACGCCATTTCCACACTTCAAGCGTTCTGGTATGTTTTGTGCGTCCGAGTCGGAGAAAAAACATGGACGCCACCCGGAAAGCTGTTGCTATGGTAGCACTGGCCGAGTACCAGACGCTTATCAAAACTCAGCCATTTGAACTTCTAAAATTGTCACTTTATTTCACGTTTTAGTTTATCTTCTGTTAGCAACGCTAGCCACGTTAGTAACACCCGTTTGAAACAAGGCTTCATTCAATATTGCACTCACAACAAGACTGATTCCCATACACATGCAGTGATACGGACGCAGTAAGGTATTGCAGTAATACGAGTGATTAAAATCTTAATTTAAACAACCAAAGTGGTCCAAAAACAATGAAAACAATTCATACTAAGTCACACAGGGCGCAGCCATCTTGGATTCCGTATCAGAATTCTTGCTCGGTGTCCTCACGGTTGTCCGAAATCCGAGCGGGAAAATCCGAGGAAAGGGGGCGTGTTGGTGCGTGTTGCTAGGCAACGTCTGTCTTCCTAGTCGGAACTCCGACGCGGATAAATAATAGAACGCACCATAAATACAGAGACAAATGAACCATAATGATGTGAAGACAGGTGACACAGATGATGATAACGAGGGACAGGCTGGTAAGTGAGGGAGTGAATACAGGTGTGGAGACGAGGAGGATTCTGGGAAGTGTAGTGAAGAGACAAGGACAGACTGGTGCAGACGAAGACTGTGACAGCGTGCTAATGGAGGGGCGTATAAAGACACTACAAACGCGCTTCAGTATGGCCAGTTGTGCTATGCAAAAGCAAAAAGAACATCTTTTCTTTCAAACGGTCAATCATGCTCGAGTGCTCTGGGAACCTATGAGTAAACCAAAAGGAATACTAGGAGGACAATTAAACATCCGCAGTCTAATCTCTAAAAGGGATCAGATCTCAGCACTTCTCCTGGATTCCAACTTGGATTACATTTGTTTGACGGAAACCTGGTTGCACAATAATATTTTAACAAATATGATTGACGTTTCTGGATATCAATGCTACAGAAAGGACAGAAACTCTGGGAAGGGAGGAGGTGTTAAAGGTGCCCTAGAATGTTTTTTTTTTATTATTTTATAATGTTTCCTGGGTTACCCTTATAATGTTAGTATGTTTTTTAGATAAAAAATATTCATAATTTAGAAATAAATGGCATTTTTCCTAGCCTGCTTTTAGCCTCTGATTTGAACACTCTGTTTGAAGGGGCGTGTCTGCTGTGGGATTCAGTGTAACCGCGGCCACTGCTGTGATTGGCTGACATGCTTGCATATGAAATAGCAACGCATTACATGTGAAACTCTCTCCCGAATACTTTTACTACTGCTATTATACGTTTTTACTATAACAGCTATCGAGATTAACGAATCGTGAGATGTTTTTAAAGTATTTAGATCTATTCCCATCACATAAAATGTTGCCGTGATGAGCATTGAGCAGATGACTGTGTGTTGATCGCGAGAATGAAGATCTTATCATTGCAAAGCAGTTTCTGCACTCTCTCTGCTTTCACCAATGCAAACACGATGATGTAAATACAGAAAGAGCTTCGTTGTGCAGTAACGTGCGTCATTGATTTCATAACGAGTTTGGCAAGTGTCCAGATAAACTCGCGCTGTGTGGAAAGATTGTTCTTTGATCACTTTCTGTATATGTCACGGGTGACAAAATCGCTCGGCAAGCGGAACCCCCTTGAGAGTCCTAAGTTTCCCAGGGGAAGGTATTGTGTGCAACACGCCCCACTCCGGTGATGTAAACATGCCCGCACTGATTAGCGCTAATGCATTGCAGGTGTGAGAGAGAGAGAAGCGGCGCTCACACAGGCTTCCTGTTACGCAAGCCAGGATAAAAAGGGACCATTCAGAGAGTGTTGGTCGTTGTTCAGTGGGTTCGCGTTGTTCAGTGGGTTGTCGTTGTTCAGTGGGTTTGCGGTGTTCAGTGGGTTTGAAGTGCTCAGTGAGTTGGAAGTGTTGAAGAGCCTAAAGGGTTGACTTGGAGCAGTGTTGGATACAAGCTTCCTCAGGAAAACCGTTGTGGTGTGGAGACCGCCCATTTGAGTTTGCTGGATCAGAGTGATCGTTTGTGGGAAGTCTGCTGGACTGAGCTATCGTCTGGATTGGTGCTGTGGAAGGAGAGAGAAGAGATAAGTGAACTGATTTCATCTTATGAGTGTTTAAATTGCTGGAAGAGGATGCAGTAAATGTGGATCTGATTGTCGGAAGAGCTATGTGTTTCAGAGTGTGTTGAGGAGGAATTGAGAGAGAAATCCCTCGTGGAGCGAGCGCAACAAACTGAGTGGGGCCTCTGACCAGCCTTATTGCGTGAGTGAATTGCAGTGCTTTTGCCTTATTGATACACATTGATTTGTGGCTGTGGAATTGAAGTGAACACAAGTGTGCTGTGCCTTTGCTGAGAAGTGGCCCTAGCCCCATTTACACGTTTGTGGAAAGTTACTATATCTGCTCCCCATTGGAAGTCCAGTGTGATACAGCTGCACTGAAGAGGGTACTCTGTACTGTGAAGGTCCTTAATTGTTATTTACTGTTTTGAGCCCAGAAGCCTACCGCATCACTGGAGAAACGATCTTTTAACCCACTGTCTCCTTACTGTGAATTGAAGAGAGTACTGTGCAGATCCTTACCTGTTCCACTTACTGTTGAGTTCAGAGGCATGCAGCATCACTGGTAACGTACCCTTTTTAATCCATTGTCTCCTTGCTGTGCACTGAAGAGAGTACATTGTACTGTGAAGATTCTTACCCGTCCTATTTACTGGTTGAGCCCAGAAGCCTACCGCATCACTGGAGAAACGATCTTTTAACCCACTGTCTCCTTGCTGTGAATTGAAGAGAGTACTGTGCAGATCCTTACCTGTTCCACTTACTGTTGAGTCCAGACGCATGCAGCATCACTGGTAACGTGCCCTTTTTAATCCATTGTCTCCTTACTGTGCACTGAAGAGAGTACATTGTACTGTGAAGATTCTTACCCGTTCTACTTACTGTTTGAGCCCAGAAGCCTACAGCATCACTGGTAACGTACCATTTTAATTCATTGTCTTCCTGCTGTGTACCGAAGAGAGTACGTTGTACTGCGAAGATCCTTACCTGCTCTACTTACTGTTGAGTCCAGAAGCACACTGCATCATTTGGGAAGCAACCTTTTAATTCACTGTCTCCTTACTGCGAGCTGAAGAGAGTACTGTGTACTGTGAAGATCCTTACCTGTTCTACTTACTGTCCGAGTCCAGAGGTATACAGCATCACTGGTAAAGTACCCTGTTTAATCCATTGTCTTCCTGCTGTACATTGAAGAGAGTATTTTGTACTGTGAAGATCCTCACCTGTTCTACTTACCGTTTGAGTCCAGAAGGACGCAGCATCATGGGCGAAGTAAACCTTTAACTCACTGTCTTCCTCCTGTGGACCGAAGAGTACCGCGCACTGCGAAGAATCCTTACCTGCTATACTTACTGCCCGAGTTCGGAAGTCTGCAGCACTGCTGGGAAAAAGTAAGCTTTCAAACCATTGTTCCATTACGGTGTGCCGATGAGAGTTCTCGGTACTGTGAATATCCTTACCTGTTCTACTTACTGTTTGAGTCCAGAAGCATGCAGCATCGCTGGTGAAGCCGTCTAGTGATTCGCTGGCTCGCCCCCCTGTGAACCGAAGGGAGAGCTGTGTACTGTGAATAACCCTTACCTGTTATTCTCACTATCTGAGTCTGGAAGTCTGCAGCACCGCTGGTGAACGGAGTCCCTAAATTGCCGCCCAGGGGACACCGTGACAGTTGCGACACGCCCGCCCGTGACAGAAGGATATCTAGAGGACAGTGAAGGCTATCCAATTGATGCCCCTTGTTTTATCGTTCAATAAAGATCGTTCCTCCTTTGAAACTTACCTGTGTCTCCGTAGTCCTCTGTTGTGTGCCTGTGGTGTCGGCTCCCCACGGTGGTGACTCAGTAAGAGAGGGGGGGGGTGGTTGGTCATCCGAGCATTCCTCCCCTCGACCTGTGTGACATCAAGTGGCGTAGTTGGCAGGGTACACGCCGTGAGTTGTAGCGGCCACAGGTACGCGATGGCGGACGAAGAGGCACCCGAGGCTCGTCCACAAGTCATGCCGATCTTCATGGGAGCTCCTTGGGCGCAGCGCTATGGAGGACCGGGGTCGGAGTTAAGTTTGCAGGATTGGAGGGCGCAGACGGAGTACCTGGCTGGACTACAGGGATTGAGTGCCGCGCAGAGAGTACAGTTTGTGTTGGGGTCATTGGAAGGAGAAGCAAAAAGGGAAGTACTGGCTGCACCGGAAGCCGCACGGGCTACTGCGAAAACTATCTTTGATTTCTTGTTTGGATTGTATGGAGACTCTACCCCAGTGGCCACTCTTCGTGCCCAGTTCTTCAACTATCAACAAGGACCTACGCAGACACTTCGGGCATACTCCTTGAAGTTACGGGAGCAGTTTGGCCGGCTGAAGGGGCGACCGGATCATGGACTGGGTGAAGGGGATGCCTTGCTACGAGACCAATTCGTCTTGGGGCTGCGTGAAGGGCCGGTACGCCAGGGCATACGACTCCAGCTTCGACGAGACCCCACTATGACCTTTGAGGCTCTGCGACAAGAGGCCTTGGCGTTGGAAATAGACCAGGGAGAGGTAACTCGTACCCCAGTTTGTGTGGCAGCAAGTAGTGCTAGTGGACCTGCTCCTGTCGAACCGGACGATTGGAAGCAGAAACTGAGGACCGAGCTGCTAGAGGATGTCAAGGGACAGATGGCGGAATTATCGCGGAACCTGCTGGGTGAACTTCGTCGAGGACGAGTCAAGGGCGGAGCAGTGGTGAGAGGGAGGTCGTATTCAGAGGAGGGGCCAGGCCCTGTGCGCCGCCCCCTACGTCCTGTGGGCCCCCGGTTCCAGTGGGATGATCAAGGAAGGCCCATCTGTATCAATTGCGGAGATCCGGGACATATCAGCCGCCAGTGTGGGCTTCGCCGGGGTTCTCAAGGGGGTTTTTAGTCCCACCGGCCACTGTGGGTCAAGTGGCCGGGACCCCTTTGTGTGACCCTCCTTTTCCTGCTGCACGAGATAACTGGGTGGGACATTGCCCCACCGTGGAGGTTCAAGCTAATGGAGTCACGATAGACTGTCTGGTTGATACAGGGTCTCAAGTTACGTTATTCTCAGAGAGCCTGGCCCAGGAGTTGTTCGCAGATCATCGGCTCCAAGCAACAGAAGCTTCCAAGCTGACCTTACGGGGGGCCAATGGTCTGGACATCCCTTATACTGGGTACATCGTGGTAGACTTTCTTGTCCGAGGGGTCCCCGTCCCACAAAAAGGGGTAGTTATCGTCCGAGATCATTGCTTGGGCATTCATCGAGCACTGTTAGGGATGAACGTTATACTGGATTGCTGGGAAGAATTGTTTCGGGACCGGCCGGCTCGGACGTCTCCGTCACCGGCGAAACAGGACTGGGACCGAATTCTGGCCGATTGCCGAAGAGTGCACACAGCTAATCACATGGAAGAAAGGGAAGACATCGGTCGAGTTACCTGTCGGTATGCTCTGTCTATCCCAGCCCAGAGTGAGACCGTTCTTTGGGTCCGTGTACCCGCGGGACCCCGTGGGTCAGGTACCTGTGTCCTGGTAGAGCCTCATGAAGATTGTCAGCCAGTTGAAGTGGCTCACGGGCTGGCGGTTGTTCGCCGTGGGCGAGTCGCAGTCAAAGTACGGAATACAAATCCTTACCCTGTGCTCCTTCGTCGACACCAACGTCTGGCCCGAGTTTCCTCAGTACGTCCTGTCCAGGTGCATGAGCACCAAGATGTCTGCTTCAGACAGGTGAGCCCTGCGGTGGTGGAAGTTGCTGTCCGTCCCGTCGAGGTAGAACTGGGTTCGGTTGGAAGAGGAGTGCCGGCCCATTTGATGGGAGAGTCCCTGAAGGGTGAGAACCTGGAAGAGGAACAAGTGGTACAGCTTCAGGAGCTGCTGAAGAAGTGGCAACATGTGTTTTCAACACACGAAGAGGATTATGGCTGCACAGGGGTGGTGAAGCATCAAATACCCACTGGTGGGGCGACACCTAGTCGGGAGCGCTACCGTCCGGTGCCCCCCACTCTTTATACCGAGGTCCGCACCCTGTTGAAAGGGATGCTGGAGGGAGGAATCATCCGAGAAAGCAGTAGTCCGTGGGCTGCGCCCATCGTTCTGGTGCAAAAGAAGACGGGAGCTTTGAGGTTCTGCGTTGACTATCGCAAACTCAACAGCGTAACGAAGAAAGATGCATTTCCATTGCCACGGATTGAGGACTCGCTCACCAGTCTCACCCAAGCGGCGTGGTATTCAACATTGGACCTGGCGAGTGGATACTGGCAGGTGCAGGTGGACGACCGAGATAGGGAGAAGACAGCTTTCACCACCCCGTTTGGGTTATTTGAATGGGACCGTATGCCATTCGGTCTGTGCAATGCTCCTGCGACCTTTCAACGCCTGATGCAGCGCTGCCTAGGAGGACAATTAGTCGACTCAACGCTGGTCTACCTAGACGATGTGATCGTTTTCTCCTCTGATTTCCGCACCCATCTGCATCATCTGGAGGAAGTGTTCAGGGCCATGGAGAGATATGGGCTGAAGCTTAGGCCAGACAAGTGCCAGTTGCTGCGGAAGGAGGTGCAGTTCTTGGGACATCACGTCAGTGCTGCAGGGATCTCCCCTGACCCGGAGAAGGTGGCGGCGGTCCAAGGATGGGAGCCACCCCGGACAGTGAGACAGGTGCGGTCATTCCTGGGGTTCGTGGGATATTATCGGCGCTTCATAAAGGGATTCTCTGGGCTTGCGAAGCCATTAAACCAACTCTTGGCTGGTACTGGACGTGCCCGTGGTAAAGGCTCCCCCTCAGTACACTGGGATTCCACCTGTGAGACCGCCTTCCAGAACCTTAAGCAGGAACTTCTGAAGGCCCCTATCTTAGCCTATGCAGACTTCACCCGGCCGTTCCTCTTGTATACCGACGCCAGCAACGCAGGGTTGGGGGCCGTGTTGGCCCAAGAGCAGCAAGGAGTGGAGAAAGTAATAGCCTACGCAAGTCGAAGTTTACACCCCGCCGAACGAAACACGTCAAATTATAGCTCCTTTAAAATCGAACTGCTGGCGATGAAGTGGGCCATGACGGAGAAGTTTAAAGACTACTTGTGGGGAGCCAAGGTAACGGTGATTACAGACAACAATCCCTTAGTACACTTGCAGACCGCTAAGTTGGGGGCAGTGGAGCAGCGCTGGGTGGCACAAATTATGATTACCAGCTTAAATATCGTCCCGGCAGAGAACACGTGAACGCAGATGCCCTGTCTAGACTCCCAGCCACCCGGAGAGACGATCAAACACCCCTCTGTACCCTTGGTACTGAAGACGAGTTGTTGGTGGCAGTGGTGGAAGCCCCTGGGGCCCCGGAGCCTGTTCCGTCCAGTTGGGGGTGGGACCCCGGACGGTGGAGAGGGCTGCAGCAGAGAGATGCAGATCTGGGTCAGCTCCTGTTGTACCTCAGACAGGGAAACATGCCGAGGGCAGAGGAAAGGCGGGCTCAGACGGTGGGGGTACGACAGCTTCTGGGGCAGTGGAAGAGGCTGCAACTCCGAGAAGGAGTAATCTGTCGTTCAAGGCGGGATCCCTGCACACAGGAGATCATACATCAGGTTGCTGTACCGGAGGGCCAAGTTTCTGAGCTATTGACTGCATATCACACCCATACGGGCCATCAGGGCCAAGAGAGGACACTGTCCCTGCTGAGGAGGTATTTCTACTGGCCTAGGATGGAAAAGAAGGTTGAGGAGTTTGTTCAGAGTTGCCCACGGTGTACATTGTTCAAGCGCAGGAAGGAAGTCCGAGCTCCATTGGTCCCCCTACGACCTAAAGCACCTCTGCATATTGTAGGGATAGATTTCCTGACTCTGGGTCGGCCGACGGACCGATTCCAAAATATTCTGGTCATGACCGACTTATTCACCAAATATGCTTGGGCTGTCCCCACCGTTGATCAAACGGCAGTTACCACGGCCAGCGCTCTTTGGAGAGCAGTGATACAACCTTTTGGCTGCCCAGAAACCCTACACTCAGACCAAGGTTCAAATTTCGAGTCCCGGGTCATCCAAGAGCTGAGCCACCTTTATGGGTGCCGAAAAACCCATACGACCTCATGCCACCCTCAGGGTAACGGGGGGTGCGAAAGATTTAACCAGACCTTGTTGGGGTAATTGGGGACCTTAGAGAGTGAACAACAGGGCCAATGGGCCGAGAATCTTCCCTCGCTGTTACAAGCCTATAACAATAGTGTGCACAGTGTCACAGGGTATGCTCCTTCCTACCTTATGTTTGGGCGCCATCTCCGTTTGCCTGTGGACTTGCTCCTGGGGACCGAGACTGCAGAAAGAGGGTATAGTACCACTGACTGGGTGAATCGGCACCACCACCAACTGCTCAATGCCTACCGACGAGTCTCAGACCATCTGAGTGCAGCAGCCGCCAAGAATAATCGGTTATATGACCGGACTGCCCGAGAGGCCCCGTTGTTACCCGGGGAGCGAGTGCTGGTAAGGGACAACCGGCGCCCCGGGAAGGGGAAGCTCAGCGATCGCTGGGAGTCGACGCCATATGTGGTGGAACAACGACAAGGGCCCGATGCTCCCGTTTACTCTGTACGCCCCGAAGGGAAGTCAGGACCAATAAGGGTGCTCCATCGAAACCTGCTCCGTCCATGTCCGAACTATCCGCAGCTAAAGGCTGAGGCTCCAGGCGCGCCACCCACCCCAGAGGTGCCCATGGTAGGGTGGGCTGTGGTCCCGAGGGACCATGGAGTTGA